GAACAGATTATCCGGGAGGCTGGGCTCTATGAGGAGAAATGTGGGGTCAGGATTGGTGGTGGTGGTGGTGGTGGAATCACCATTACTCTTGTGCATATTTCAGTAATATTTTATTTTACTTTTTTAAAGAAAAAAAATTAAAAACTTGAAGGAAGTATTTTTTCAATTCTAGTTCCAGAAAATGAGCTCAGCTATATGATCAAAAGGGGAGAAAAAGTGTTACATTTGTTACACATTTGCTAGTTTCCTCATAACCAATACAATCACTTTTATATTGCTCCAGGCTAAGTGTTAATAATCAAGCATTATCTCCTTACAAGGAAAGTATTTCACACACATTCTTGTAAAATGAACAACACCAGCGAAGACTGGAATAATTAAGTAGCATAGTGGTTAAAGTGTTTGGCTGCTAACAAAGGGTTCAGCTGTTTTAAATCACTGGCTGCTAAGCAGGAGGTAGTGGGTAGTCTGCATCTATAAAATGATTATTCTGTAAACTATGGGGCAGTAGTATGCTGCCCTAGTGGGTCACTGCGAGAATCAAAATTTTGAGATTATTTTGGTTTGTTTGTTAAGAGTTTAAATCAGAGCTAGAGTAAAATCCCTAATCCCTTTCACAGATTAAAATGTGAAATCTAAAATCAGACTACTTGAGTTGGTATTCCTATTCGGTATGACCTACAACCAGTTAGTGGACTTCTCTTTTCTTATCTATAAAATAGAGTTGCCAAAACAAATAACACAAAAAAAATCCTACTATGGTCTTGTCAATTCCAGCTCAAAGCAGTTCTCCACTGGGTTTCTGAGGATATAAATCTTCTTGGGGGAAACTTCCCATCTTTCTCCCATGGTGGATTTGAATCACCAACCTCTTGGTCAGGAGTCCAACACACAATACACTGCACCACCAAAATCCAAATGCACTGCCACTCACTCTGACTCACAGGGTTTCTAAATCTGTAAATCTTTATGGGAGGGAACCGCCCATCATTCTCCCTAGGAGGGGCTGGAGGATTCCAAGTGTTCCTTTTCAGTCCGATATGTTATGTATTAAGTCACCAGGACTCCTAAAAACAGGGTTGCAAGGATGGTTAGATTACTTAACAGAAACAAAGCTCTCAGAGCACACGCTAAGGTGCTTTATTCATTTATTATTATTGTTACATGAGATCCAGTAATTTCCACTCATAATGAGCCTATAGCCCAGAACAGACTGCTGAGTCTTTTTCCTTTCCCCTCCATGAAGCTAAGTAAGTTCAAACAACTGACCTTCCCATTAGCAGCCAAGTGCTCAATAACTTGTTCAACACAAACGAGCTATTATTTTATTTAAGACAACCACCGCTACCAGAAGGAGAAATCTCACCTGATTAAAGCAAATGATAACTAGCCTGAATATTATAGTGAATGAAGTTCTATCTTTTGAACTCTTAGACTTTAGTGACAGGGGAACCAGTGTCATTAATTTATAAGTAGAGCAAATAACAAGCCTGTGAACACAAGGTCCATTAAAGAAAATGAGAGAACTGCCAGGTCTTACCATTCATGCTGCCAAGAGAGTAGGTTTTATACAACAGAGAAACTCAAGAAGGATCTGATGTCCAAGGGATGAGAGGAAGGGAGAATCTTTGCTGTGTGGAATCAAATAAGAGAAGTTACCATTGGCTCCTTGTCTCAAAACTCATATCCAATCGGTCAACCAATTTCATAGGTTCCACCCAGAATCCACCTACTTCCCATCTCCATTTCCTTCACCACCAACGTGCTCCCCTTGTATACTTTGACTGTCTTCAAAGTATAGCTAGAAGGAATCTCTGCTAAAATGCTGCTGGATAGTTTTCACGATACAAAATTCACTGATGAGATAAATTGGGACAGGAATGATTGAAGCTGACATGACACTATTTCTGAACAATGTAACACATTTGATGTCTACATTATCCATAGCATTCTAATTCTACTTAATCACTCCAGCATTTTGATTCGTTTTGCATCTTAATTAATTAAAATTATTAAATTACAAAAAATTCATCCCATTCTGTGCACAATAAACTCATACCACTCTGATATGAATTTTAAAATTACAAGTGGAAAAAAAAAACCCTAGCAATTCATGGGTTCTTATTTAATCCAAAGTGCCTGAGTAGTTAGAGGAATTTAGCTGTTAACTGGAGGATCAAATCCACCCAAAGGTACCTCAGAAGAAAGGTCTGGCAATCTACTTCTGAAAGAAAAAAAAAAAAATCAAATACTGAGAATCCTAGTTACGGTTCTACTCTTAAGATACATGGAGTTGTCATGAGCCAGTGTACAGGAACTGGTTTATACTAATTTCTACGTGCCATGTAATATATGTAATAGGCTTATTGAAATTGTATTAATCACTGTACTTTCTTTTCACTTATTCAAGAAGCATTTCCATGGATTCCCATCGTGTGCCCCCCACTGTGTTAAATCTACTGGAATCCATTAGATTGTCTTGTTTATTTCACACACCTAAGTAATGCACTTTGGAAAAATCTAGAATTCTCCGCTCCGCCGCTTCTTCACTACCTCTCTGTACACAGGTCGCCCACCCAAAGCGCGCGCCCCACACACCCCAGCAAAGCCGGGCGCCGTTCCTATTCTAGAAGGGCACCCGCAAATTGCACCCAGGTTCCAAAGTCTCACCCACTTGAAGCCCCAAGGGCGCCGCACCGCTCGGCCTTAGCCCAGCTCAGAGCGTCTACAAAATCTCCGACAAAAGGCGCGAGGAAGCCCCTCTTGGCCCATCCGACGAGCACCACCTCCCCGCACGCCACGCTTCTCTCTAGGTTCCGGCACCCAGCACTTTCAGCCAACCGCGCCAAAATTTCAATTTGGCTCCACCCTGCCTCTGACGTCAGGCGCACGCAGGTTTCAGGACTGCACTGATTGGCTACGCCAGGCTTCTCCCTAGAGGCATCCGAAAAAGAGCAAAGTAAGGCCCTTGTGTCAAGCTATCAGATCAGGTTACGTAACCTTGAGCCATTTTTGTTAGGGGCAAGGAGACTTCCGGGTGTTAAAAACGCAGAGCTTCCTTAGCTGAACCAGTGTCCTGGCGCCTTCTAGCGCTGAGTTTAAGTCTCCGCTATGGTTGTTGCTGTTGTTATTGTTATGTGCCCTCGAGTCGCATGCGACTCATAGTGACCCTATGTACAACAGCCCTAAACTCTGCTCTGTCCTGTGCCAATCTCACTGTCTCTGACACTCCCAT